AGGAGGAGGCGGAGGATTGGGAGGAGGCGGTGGATTAGGCGGATTTGGTGGGCATCACGGAGGTGGAGGATATCACGGAGGTGGAGGATATCACGGAGGTGTAGGACATCACGGTGGACGTCCTAGTTGGGGTGGCGGACGTCCAGGAGGATGGGGCGGTGGACGTCCCGGAGGTTTTGGCGGAGCATCTTGGAGCAAAGCCTCAGCGTCATCCGGTTCTTTTGGACGCGGCTAGTAAGATCTTCACTCAACATAAAATTAACATTAATTAAACATAATTTATCTTTTCAGCGGTCGTTGATTTCTACTTCTCTCTCTTCCTAAGCGAGTCAAGGTTTTGTAAATTTTGTAATAAACAAATAATAAAGACAAACTATTATTTACTATGATCCATTCATTTACTCCTATTAACAATTTACAAAAATACTCTATAACGAGTATAACAAAATATACCTGTATTATCTGTTTAAATTGACTTATTTGCTAATTATTGTACTATTATTAGATTAGAAGAAACTCGCTAAAAACTAAAGTTGTTTTACGTGTTTAAAATTACATATTTCAACCTTGACATTGAATTACACAAAAATCCTTATATGTTCATATTGTCCCAAATATTATTAATATACTTAATCAACATTTGGTCTACTTTTATACAATTTTGAGGAATTGGCAAATATCTTCAGACACGTCATTTCACTCATGCCCAAAATTGAACTTTCAAAGAAAATTGCACAAAAACAATCATATTACACAATTAAATTCAATTTTCATATTTGCAATTAGTATGTTATTGTTAGGATCTGAGCAATTTATACAAAATAATATAAAAAAAAATCCAAATTAGAAAAATCAATATTGACTGCAACTTTCACGAAAACAGTAAAATCATGTAATAACTATTTTATTCTAATTTGTCATAACTTTAAATAATTTGCAATTTCAGCAATTAGTGTATTATTTTTAGTTTTAAAAAAAATAATTAAAATTAAATTAATTTGTTTGATTTGTTTTATTGATTTTGTACACGAAAACAGCGAATCTTGATATTCCCGTTATATTGGCTTCAATTTGCGTATTTATTAATATTATTAATTATACTATTATTAGTTTTAGAGAATTTCTTGAATTTATTAATAATGTTTGCATCGAATTACAAAAACCATAAATAGGCGTGATAAAATTACCATAAATTTACATTTTAATTAATTATTGATTTTAAATTAATTTGTACATAGACTGTTGATTTTCTGTTAATTTGCTAATAATATTTGCTTCTTTGCAATAACAAATATAAATTTGTAAAGCAAATTATATCAAATTACTATTGACATATAATTACAACAAAATCGTAATGCATTAATTAATAAAAATTAATTGCTTTTCAAGATTTTACTAAAATTTAAGATAAAAACTAACTATTTTTTTAAAAGTTAACGAAATGGTTTTCAACTGATTAACAAATACGTACATATATGAGAAACCTATTGAAAAGTATTATGATTGACAGCTGTGGAAAGGTCCAAAAGCTTTGTAAACATTCTTTATTTGCACTACGTTCATTATTTATACACCTCTCTATTTTTTTACAGGTTCTCTTCTATGATCGCTAATTGCATCGAATCTAATAATGCAACCTTCAATTTCCACTGTGTTACGTATTAAGTTGTTTCGGACTTTTAGCTTTTTTTATGCATATTATACAGTTTTTTGTTTGTTCTGGTCTTAAAGGAAATGGTATAAAAGGCGATGCAACAAGAGGTATAAATGCACAGAAGAGCAACATGCGTTCTGCATTGGTGTTGTTAGCATTTGCTGTGGCTATTGCCGGAGCTCAAAGGGTTGGTGTAGTGTACTTGATCGATTTGATCGGAAGAGGAAATGTTGACGGAGATTCTAATTCGATTCAGGGCCGAAGCAAGGATTTGATTAATCGACCAGCTGGAATCCTGTTCCTTCCGTTGTCTACAAATAAACCGCTTCCGGACGGAGTCTACATCGAAGATGAGAAAGCATCGGAGAGTGCTAATGTAATTGATCATCTTGTAATATGAAGGATTTTCGATTAATTGTTGTACTTTTTAGGCTTTAAGCGATTTGGGTGAGAAGGGTGAAACAAAGTTTGGCAGAGCTAAGAGATCGGCGTTACCTGGATATGGAGGCAGGGGTGGATTAGGAGGAGGCGGTGGAATCGGTGGAGGTGGCGGAGGCGGTGGTAGACCATGCTGCGGAGGAGGAGGCGGAGGTGGTGGTCGTCCAGGAGGTGGTGGCAAGGGTGGCGGTTCTTCCGGTTCTTGGAGCAAAGCATCCGCATCTTCCGGTTCTTGGGGTCGTGGCTAGTAAGAATTTTTTGGTAACATGAGAATAAATTTCTACAAACACTTATTTTTTTTTACAGCGGCCGTTGATTAAATTCTGTTTACGGATAAGTCGATAATAAGGAATTTGAAAATTTTAAGCATTAATTAAAAAAAATAAATAATTAATTACAATATAAATATTTCTTTTTAATTGAACCGAAAACCATAAACCACAAATCCTGAGTAAATTTCGAAATTTAAAAAAAAAATATAAAAGATAATTATGTAAGTTGTTAAATGTGAATTACTAAATTATTACAACTAATGGAAGATGTAAATGAAATACTGAACAAGTATGTACAGATGAAGTTTCATGGTAGTATTATGTCACATTTAGATTGGAATTTGTATATCAGTTTAATGTTGAATTTGCAATTTGATCTAATGGGTTGCTTTTGGTTCAGCAAGAACCGAATGATAGTATTCGCTGCTAGCAGATTCCAAGAACGAAAATGCGCACGATCGATCATTTTATGAACACTGTTTAATCTACGTACGTAAGCCGGGGATTTACAGTGTATAGGACCGAAAAGGTATTGCATATATTATTAATAATTTGAATATCAATAGATCAAATCTTCTTTCTTCGTATTTCTTTATATTTGCATTGCACCGATTCCATTACCTCATCTTCTACCGCTACCGCATTATGTAAACATTGTTAATTGTTTCTTTGGTTTTGTTATGTTATTATAATTTTCATAATAATTGAATCCAAGAAGGAAAAATTGTATAAAAGGTGATGCGATCATTTGAAGCAAGCAGAGAACACCAAGATGCGTTCTGCAGTGACGGTGTTAGCAGCAGTTGCGGTCTTCGTTGCCGTAGCCGAAGAACAAAAAGCTGGTGTCGTGTATTTGATCGATACGATCGGAAGGAAAAATCCGGAATCGATTGGTGGTAGCGACAACAAGGATTTAAGTGATACGCCGTTCTTCAAGCCTTTGCCTGCCGATAAACCGCTTCCAGATGGAATCTATTTTCGACCGGAGGACGGCAAGCCTTTGGAAAACCCCGACGTAATTACATTTTAATGATAATTCTTATTGGATAATGATTTGATCTTGCAGGATTTACGTGTTAAAGGAGAGAAAGAAGTTAGGGAAAAGAGATCGGCGTACCCTGGTAAAGGTGGTGGTGGCGGAGCATGTTGCGGTGGTGGTGGTGGTGGAGGACGTCCTGGTGGTGGCGGCGGAGGTAGAGGCGGCGGTGGAGGTGGCGGAGGAGGAGGCTCTTGGAGCAAATCTGGTTCATCTTCCGGTTCTTGGGGTGGTGGAGGCGGAAAAGGCTAGTAAGTATAAATTAATCTAATCTTAAGATAACATTAATATCTAATTTATAAATGTATTTTTTAGCGGACGCTGATTTCTCTTCCTCTCTACGCAAAACAGATATACAAATGTCTCAATTAACAAATAACGATTAAATAAAAAAGCATGAATGATAATTTGACTAGTTTTACTTATGTTTACACCCTCATATCTATAGTATGAAATTTAATACAACATTAAACAATATTCTGATAGTTTCCTATTACAAAACTTTATACAATTATTTTAATCATTACTTTATTCAATTAATGCCTATAACAACAGATTGAATAGTGTAAAAAAGTAAAATAAATTTCTGTTTTGAATTAAATATAGTGACTTTAATTACAAACCAATTAAAGGTTGGTAACATTGCCTGTTTTGAACTAAAAAGTTTCAGTAGCCTTAGCAAAAAGAGTCGCGTCATTGTTTTATCGAAATGGCAAAGGGACGGAAGTACGCGTTCAAAGAGTTAAACGATGGTAAAACTTATGCGAAGACGCGGTCATCGAATATGTCCGTCCACTTCAAAAATACAGTGGAAACAGCGAACGCTATAAAAGGATTAACAGTGGAAAGGGCCAAGAAGTATCTGAACAACGTGATTGCTCACAAGGAATGCGTACCTTTCAAGAAGTTCAAAGGCGGAGTGGGAAGATGTGCTCAGGCCAAACAGTTTGGAGTTACTCAGGTAATTATTACTAATAATTACTGGATTATTCGTTTATTTCTTTTTTACTTAATTTCAGGGACGTTGGCCGCTAAAGTCTGTGAAGTTTCTTCTGGATCTGATTCGAAACGCCGTTGCTAACGCTGAGTTTTCTGGCATAGATACCGAACATCTGAAGATCGTTTACATACAGGTGAATCCTGCGCCTACTAGACATCGCAGGACCTACAGGGCGCACGGAGTTATTAATCCCTACATGTCGCATAATTGCCGTTGCGAAATCGTCCTTGGAACATCTGAAAAAGAAACAACCTAATTCGAAACTTGTAATTAATAAGTTATGTAATTTAAAATTTGCGTTGGCGTTAATAAAATTTATTTAAGATACAAAAAAAAATGATTTACTATACAACGATAATTAGAAGTAAAAACAATTGTTTTTGAATTAGTTTAGTAATTTGAATTTGAGGAAAATTGCTGAACTGTAGCTTTTCTTATATACACGATAGATGGTGCTATTGGATTGTAATTATTAATTATTTTTTGACGAATAGTTTGTTTGTATTATGTTATTACGTGTTTTATTGTATATAAATTACGTAAAACTTAATTTTTTAAATATAATTATGAATCTTAGAAGGCCAACTTGAAGCTACGAAATTCCACTAGAAATTTGCCGACAGAAAAGTCAGAAAAAGTGTTTGTAATCAGTGACTGGCGTTTTCACATAAATATTAGAAGAATAACAAATTCGTCCAACACCTGAGTTACTCGCAATTACGACTTAACATCGACTAGTTTCCCATATAAAGTATCAAGTAATTATCTCGTTTGTTAATTATACAGCGAAAAGTTTAAAGAATAAAATTATTGTAACCTTAAATTTGTAGCCATGGAGTCGATAGCCACAGATTCTGGTAAGATCGTGAAGATGGAAGTGGATTACACCTCCGCTTGCGACGACAAGATCCCAGAATGCAAGAAACTTGCAAAAGCAGGAAAAATGCATGATGCACTTGACTGTCTTCTGGCATTCGAGAAGCAAACCAGGACTGGAGCTGATATGGTATCAACTGGCCGTGTCCTTGTTGCTATTGTACAAATCTGCAAAGAAGCTAACAACTGGCCAGCCCTGAACGAGCACATCATGATGCTTTCCAAGCGCCGTTCTCAATTGAAACAAGCAGTTGCTAAGATGGTACAGGAATGCTGCACCTATGTAGATTTAACCCCAGACAAGGAGGTCAAAGTTAAACTTATTGATACCTTAAGGTATATTGTCATGTTTGATCTAGATGTATAATAGTAACAAATGTATTCATTTGTAGGCAAGTCACTGAGGGCAAGATTTACGTGGAAGTTGAGCGCGCCAGATTGACGCATAAATTGGCGAATATCCGCGAGGAAGAAGGGGATATAACTGAAGCTGCGAATATCATACAGGAATTGCAAGTGGAAACATATGGTTCCATGGAGAAGAGGGAGAAGGTTGAATTGATCTTGGAACAAATGCGCTTGTGTTTGGCCAAGGAGGATTACATTCGCACGCAGATTATCTCCAAGAAAATTAACACTAAATTCTTTGATGATGAAAGCACTCAAGACTTGAAGTTGAAGTATTACAGGTTGATGATGGAGATGGATCAACATGAGGGATCTTATTTGGCTACATGCAAGCATTATAGGTAATAAGCTTTATCAGAATTAAGCTTCTCCTTTTTCTAATAACACTTGTTTTTGTTTAATCTTAGGGCTGTTTTGAATACTACATCCATTCAGGCTGTGCCTGAGGACAAGCAGAACGCGGCTCAAGCCGTTGTCCTTTACTTGGTTTTGGCTCCTCACGATAACGAGCAAGCCGATCTTACTCACAGAGTTTTGGCTGATAAAATCCTAGAGGAAATACCTTTGTTCAAGGAACTGTTGAAGCTCTTCACAACTTCCGAGCTGATTAAATGGTCTGCGCTTTGCGAGCAATACGAGAAGGTCTTGAAAGCAACGCCAGTCTTCAACGGAAACGATGATCAGAGCAAGCAGAGATGGAAGGACATGAGGAATAGAGTTGTCGAGCATAACATTCGCGTGATGGCCAAGTACTACACCCGCATTAAGTTGGCGCGTATGGCCGAGCTTTTGGATCTGAGCACCGGAGAAACTGAAGAGTTCTTGTCGCAGATGGTCGTTTCGAAGACGGTGACAGCTAAAACGGATCGTCCATCCGGCGTTGTCCACTTCCAACAGAGCAAGGACCCCAGCGACGTGCTCAACGACTGGGCCCATGACCTCTCCTCACTGATGGGTCTGGTCAATAAGACCACTCATCTCATCAACAAGGAAGAGTGCATCCACAAACATCTAGCTGTTACCGCCTAAATCCTTTACTAATATTTTCATTCAAAAAGAAGCAAATATATCTATCTGTTTGATAGTTATTTTTTATTTAATAAATTAATTATAAATATTAAAATTTTATCCAATTTCCTCTTACTTTAACATTATCGAAATTCATGTACTAATTGCAAAGTTAAATTTCTTTGGACATTGACTTTAATTACTCTTAATTCCTCTTTTTATCAATAGATTAGATTAGAAACAAAACAGTCTAGGATTGTTTAGTCGTATAAACAACTTAGTTTCAAGCGCTGCAAATGAAATAAATCTTATAATTAAGACAAATTCTTAAGCGTTGCACAAGTTTCCAGAGAAAGTGTAATGTGAACAACAAAAAAAAAACTCGTATCTGCAATCGCTGCGCGCACTGTCTCGTTATATAATCGATTGTCGTTTGCTCTTATCGACAGAATAATTAGTTGGAAACCAACTGTTGGAGAATCCATCAAGCCGCAATTCAGTTCCAATTGTGGCCGAGATCTTTCCCACATTAAGTTTTTCCGTGCGTTAACGTGTGCTGTGTGTGTTTTTTTAATACATAGTTGTATAGTAATAGAGAAACTAGTGCTAAATTCGTGTAAGTGAAGAAATAATTTAAACTGTTTCAACCTGGAAATTTTAAAATAATTAATTACTAGTAGGTAATTACTATGATTGTAGCAATCACTATCATTCATTTATAAACAATAGAATCTACAATTTATCTTAAAATTTAATCATTTTCAATTATTGTCTGTCTACATTTTCTTTTTTATTTGCTGGACGTTGGACCAAGTACATTTACTTGAGGTACTCTCAACAACACAAGAACTATTACTACTGTTTTCTTAATAATAATTAAATGTCTGTGTTTTTTGCTAATAATAAATTAGATTCGCTTATTTCTAATTATTAGATATTGTTGCAAAACAAATTGAAAATGGTAAAATAAACTTTTTAATAAGTAAAATTCACATGTTTTTTTTTAAGATTCTATACGATCTGTATATCTGAATTGTTTTGATAAACCACTTGAAAGTAGTATTATATTTTCATTTATGAACAATATAGATTGATATCACGGAAAAAAAAATTTGATAAAAATATATACAAAGTATACATTAAGATGCATTTGTTCACTACTTTTCTCAATTGATCTCAATACGGTTCTAGAATGTTTAGTAACTAATCAAATTAATAAATATCTTAATAATGTTACTATATAATCAAAGAAAAATTAAATTTCAGTCCTAAACGTTTATCGAATCATCGTGATGTTGATATTCGTTTTAATTTTTGTATTGTTGAATTGTTGTCAAGTATATTTATAGCTTGTTTGACGTTCGAATCCAATTTAGTATTTGTATCCTGTTTCTTCGTGCCTACAGTTTCTATTTAGAATTTTGTGTATTGTTGGTGATATACCATAAAGTGCTAAAATTCTGGACTTTCTTGTTGTCTTCTTTGAATATTTGCGAGTATTCACAAAATTCCTAAATTTGTTTCCCTCTTTTATTTAAACTATACAAATGAATTTTGTATACTTAAGTATAATTAAACTATTTAAAAGTTTCCTCATTCAAAACGGTTAATTTCGATTAGCTTTTAACACGTTTTATAATAGAAAATTCCATAAAAGCAATCTTGGCAAATCTACGTACTGATTACAACGCATTTGCAGTTTTATACTAGCCAAGAATCACATTTCAATTTTTGTTTACTGTTTCATACTGTGTCATCTCTTTAACTGTTTCTTGCTTGAATTGCATTCGATACGCTGCAAAATAACAACAATTCATTCGTAAATAAAATGCAATAATTATCGTTTTTTTTTCTTCTTCTTTTTGAAAATATGCGGAATACAGACAATTATTTTTAGACTTAACGATTGCCAATGCAGAATTTTGCGTATAAAATGCAAGATTTACATTCAAAGTTTACAGTTATGTCAAAAGTTTATCGCAGTTCAACAAAAGTTGATTTTCTTTGCAAATCAAGCATATCTTTTTATTTCCTAGCAAAAACTGTGATAACTTTTACAGTCTCGATTAAATACAGTAAAACTTGTGTACTTATAGAATTTTCATTCATTCAAATTTATATTTCGTTGAGTTTAAAAAAAATCTATTAATTTAAAATTTAAAAACTATTTTTTCCTCGAATTTCAATCTGTTAATATTTATAAGAAAGTTGGAATATTTCATCTATACTAACATAATTATAAGTAAATCCCATGTGTATTTTACAAAGAAAAATACTATGCTTCAATCAATGTAAATATCTTAAAGTAAACATGAAATGGACAGTTTGATGATTTTAGATAATTAAAAGTTTATCTGAAATACGAGTCCACGAAGATTAAACAAAAGTCGTGACCCAATAATCACAGAGATAAGGTGCACTTGATGCACCGAATCGACGATCAAGTAGGAAATTTAAATAATAAAAAAAACAGCGATTCAAGGTATATCATTCACACATTCTGATAGAATTTAATTACACTTACATAACAATACTCTGTAATTTGATATTGATAAGAGTATTGTAAACTTCCTGCAAATATACCAATAAAAACGAAGTGTATTAAATATTACGATAGGAAATTAAATGTAATCGTATTACATAAAATAAACACATGATTACAGATATTAATAGTTTAGGCATCAAATATCTGCGTGATGGAATTTTATAGCATATTGAGAACATCAAAAAAAGTGAAATAAATGAATATGTAACAGATCTCTGTAAATTGCATTCATAAACGTTAAATTAGGAAAATATATGAAATATTAATTATACTGGAAAAGTAATGTTTCAATATTTAAATTAACAATTTAAATCGTATTGGACCAAGTATGATCACTTGCGGAACTCCAGACCTAATCGATATTTTTGTATGGTTACCTAAGTCGCAGGTATACATTGATATAATATGAAAGTAAGATGTATATCGATCTCGTTTATTAAGTAAACTGCAAATATGCAATTAACACTCGAGTTTTCAATATTGTTTGTTGTTTTCATTAACGAATTGCTTTAAAATTAAACGTATTTTCAAATGGTAAGTTTATAATGAGACGTTGTCTAGTTTTATTTGAAACCTTGAGATTTGCGTTTTATTCTCTTCGATTTATTAGTGCAATTGTTGTTGTTTTGCAATTGATACAACTCTTTACTATCTCTTTAATCAACTAATCGATTATCTACTAGTTTTTCAGTCAAACGCTAGAGGTTTCTTCCAGCCCCTTCTTTTTAATGTTACGAAACGATTATCTTGTAAAGATTCTGGCAACGCTGCACTAAACGGTTGTATAATATTTACGAGATATTATAAACGGCCTTTCGAACGGTGACCACCGAAATCAACCGATATTTCTTGGCCATTGATAGAAACATGTGCTTTTCAAAGTATAAAACATATTGTTCTAATCCGTACACTAATTTAAATTGATATATTTCATCAGATGTTTAACAATTTTAATTCGTGTTATTTATTTTGCAAATACCGGCGGCCGTTGTAACGGAAATCCCGTGGGAACTAAAAAAAAATGTAAGATAAAACGAAACTTCAATGAAAATATGTTGATACAATATGTAGAAATTAGTATTTTTATATCAATTAAGAAGACAAATTAGTAGTAAAGTATAATTCACAGAAATACTGAGAAAAATTCCAAGAAATGCGCATATAATGACAGAAAATCTATGAGAAATTCTATATTTTCATAGATTGTTAATTGAATTCATAAAAAACCCGGTGTTGTTTTATAAATATAGTTTCTAAGAAACTGGCGAAGAAAATTATAACTTCGATTCGCAAAATCATGGATTTTGTTACGAAACGCGTATGGAAAATAAATTTGTTTTGATCAATCGATTTCAGTATAATAATTACTTAAAATTGGATTAAAAAAGATGTTCGATGTTTCGAAACCGGTTATTTTATATAAGACTATAAATGGAGTGGTCTTAAGTAGAATGATTTGAGTTTCAACTATGCTTGAGCTTACATAGTTTTCTAAGAAATATTGAATAAGTAAATTATATTTAGATTTACTTGTTTTAGTTTGTTGTTTTTAATTTAAAAAAAATAATTTTGAATTGAATTGCGCGGAAATCATTGGTGTATAAATCTGTTGAGCGCAAAGTTTTATTCGAAGGTTCGATAACCGTAGGATAATTGTCTGAGTCTCTAATCAAATATTGTATAGCAGACGAATTGGACAATTTGTCAATTGAAACCACTTATTCTCATTCCGTTGTAATTCCTCTTTCAGAAATGCCTGTTAAGCAATGGTTGCTCCTGGTGGTAGAATGGGTCCGGCTGATAAGTGTAGAGCCGACGATGATGCTCTACATGATGGCTTTCATGCTCACCTCGGTGGTAGAACAAGCGCTGTTCGTGGATAAAGCCTGCAGATCGAACCACAACTTCACCGCGGAGATCTGTGATAATCTCAATGCATACGAAGACCAGAAGAAGATAGTACAAGTAATGATTTAATGGTTCTTTTAGAGAGGACTCTAATCATTTGGGGTTTGTTCTTAGGTGACGGTGTCGGAGTTCCATCAGTGGAATGATATCGCCGGACACGTGGTGCCCATTTTTTTGGCTCTTTTCATGGGCGCTTGGTCTGATAAAAGAGGACGAAAGATTCCGCTGCTTCTAGGTTTAATTGGTAAATTCATTTACTCGGGGATGGTCGTAGTTAACACCCTGAAGCCAGATTGGAACGTGGAGTACATCATCTACACCGCTACCATTCCCATGGCTTTCACCGGAGCGGACGTAGCGATCTTCGCTGCGGCATTTTCATATTTATCCGACGTTTCTTCATCCGATAGCCGTACTTTAAGAGTTACCATTCTGGAAGTGTGTTATTTAGCTACAATGCCAACTGGCATTGCTTTAGGTAAAGAAAACAAGTTTACATAAATGCAGTTTTAAAAAAATATCAAATTTCAGGTTCCTATTTGTTCACCCAAGTCACCAATCGTTCGTACACCATCATGTTCAGCATCAATGCATCTCTCCTGCTCTTATCCATCTTATACACCAGTATTTTCTTGAAGTGGAGGACGAACGATCGACAACGTCCTCTGAGCGAGGCTTCGAACGTGATCACCGATTTCTTTGATTGGAATCACGTTATTGAGACGTTCAGGACGTTACTGAAGAAACGTCCTGAAAACAAGCGCTCTTACCTGATCCTTTTAATTCTGGCGATTGGTTTCTACTCCTTCCAGAGGGATGAGAAGCAGATGAGCTATCTGTACCTGCAGCTAGTGCTCGGTTGGATCTTCGAGCAGGTCAGCAAGTTCCGCACTTACCAAAGTGCGTTGCAGGACGTCGTCCTGTTAACAGCTATACCTTTGATGACCAAAGTTTTCGGATGGCGCGATACCACCATCATGATCATAGGTTCCAGCTGTCACAGCATAGCTAGGATCTTCTTCGCTGCTGCCAGAGTGGACTGGCTAATTTATTTTGGTAAGCAAAACATACTGAAAGATTTAAAATATTATCAAATTTAGATGAATTAACCATTTTGGCGTAATCTTTAAATTCCAGGCGGATTCTTTGGTGCTTTCGGTCCTATCGTGGCCCCTGTTATAAGATCGATGGTTTCGAAATTGGTTTCTAACAACGAGCGCGGCAAAGCCTTCTCCTTGTTGTCAGTAACCGATAACGCTATACCTTTATTCTCTGGCATAGCCTACAATCAGGTGTACCAGGCCACCATCCACACCAATCCGGAAGCTATATTCTACGTAACCATAACAACGCAGGTGCTAGTATTATTGATCGGCTGGTAAGTGTACTTATTATGAATTAGTCATTATCAAACTAATCCGTGTTTTTCTCCTTCCAAGTTACATCCATATCCGTTTGAGAAGCAACAGCTTGAACACGTACGAGATCGAAGACATTAACAATGATGACAAGACATAATTTGTTTCATAAAAAAAACTTTTCCAAAATACTTTTAATGATTATCAAAAAAAAAACAAACAAAAGACAATAAAACGGTAAATCTAGTTCCTTAAATTAGTGCCACGGGTTGAACTCGCTTCTTATCACAGTGTCAGATAATTAAAATTAAAAAAAACGAATGTAACGCACTCAAGTGGTGAGCACCCATTTCAAAGGCACGTCTTCGGATCTCTTTTTCTTCTTCTTGCTTTCGCCTCCGCGATTTTGTACTTTAGTTTCGTTTCTATAAATGCCCATAGATCTGTTTCGGGTCTCGCGCTCATAAAGGTCGGCCGAGTGTAATCTGTAGTTGACCGTATTCTTGTACCTAATATTCACCGAGTAGTATTGTTGGAATAGTTCTTCCACCGAAAGACATTGCATGACGATCCAAACATGCGCGAACATCAGAGGGAAATGTTGCGTCCAGTACGAGAGAAATTGGTTCGGTATCATGCCTAACACTTCGCGAGATTCCTCGCTCAATTCTCGGTAGTGATGTCTCTGCGAGAGAACGGTTAAAAATCAGGATGGATAACTTATATGGCTTACCTTGTTCCTGATGGCTCTCAGAAGGTCTTTCAAGCAATGCCCTTTGTATCCTCGATACTTGGCAAGATCACAAATCAGAGCTTCATCCAAATGGTCACGCCAATCACCTCTGATCACGAAAGGAGCCTTCGCCTCCAAATTTTCACTAATACGATCATTATGTGATGTGCTTTCAACCCTGTCGCTGACGTCCTGCCAATAAATTTGTTCAAATGTTTGTTTTTATGTAATAATCCTTAATACCTGTAAGAAGTTGAGGATCGTTTTGTTGTTCCAAAAAATGGGATAGTTCAAAACCGCTTTACAGCTGGGCCTCTCAGCGGGTTCCGATGATATCAAAGACACCAGCAATGGTTTGCATACTTCAACTTTCCACTGATCTTCCTTTATTTCATCCATCGTCCAGTATCCGCTCAAGATGTTCCCTTGCCTCCTGATCTTATCCCCGAATGGATGTTCACCATCAGACAAAACATAGTAATAGAGGCACCCCAAAGAGAACATATCTACTGCGTGTGTCTATAATAATGAATAATTAATAATAATTAAGTTTTCAAATTTATATTCCTAACCGTGCTCTTATTCTCGGTCAACATTTCCGGAGCTATCCAACCATCGGTACCTGCGATTCCCGAACCTCTAGAAAACGAATCTTTTCCCGTCTGCAGTTTCTTGCATAACCCAAAGTCCGAGATCATTGCTCTGACCCCGGTTGGTCCAGCTATCGACAAGAGCACGTTTTGAGGTTTTATATCCCTATGCACTATGCTCAGCGAGTGCAGATGCTCCAAACCCAAGGTGGCTTGCTTCAGGATTTCCAGAGGTTCGATCAGATGTTTGGAGAAATCGCCTTGCACGTAATCGCACAACGTCGCTTGGCACAGCTCCAACGCTATATAACGAAACGTGTTGTCTTGTTCCATGCAGAAGTACCGGATCACGTTAGGATGAGCATCGCTTTCCCTCAGCAACGAAACTTCACGATCCGCTATATTGAAGCATTCCGGTAAAATACGTTTCACGGCCACCCTTCTACCATCAAATTCACCCCTGAAATAAACATAATTGTTTAAAAGTAAATAAATATAATGATTTCGTAATATAAACCTGTAAACAAACGTTCCCTCGCAACCTTTACCCAAAAGTTGATCCGGATTGAAAATGATCTTTCCGATTTTGATTGATCCCTCAGGTAATTCCGATACCTGATTAATAACGAAGCCTCGCTGAGGACTAATACTCGTTTGATGTTCACCAAAATTACCGAACTTGACGCTGATTAATTTTTTGAAGTAAATATACATTATAGCCAAGCAAAATATAAAACCGAATACGTATTTCGAATTGTTCATCCACTTGTTAGTAACGTTTGCCTTATGGCTATCATCAAATGTTATACTTTTCAAGCTTTCGTCTGTGATTAGTTTCGTTATTATATGACTACTTCCTGCAATTTGCAGTCTCATCTCGGTGTATTCCGGTACATTATAGTGTCCGTAATAGATTGATGTGAATTTCCCTTGCAGACTGCGATACGTCACTGTGTTCTGATGCTGCTGCAAAGGATAATTCTCACCAGGAAGTAGAACCCAAGGCTTGTCCTTAACCCTTATCGGTCCTTCGAGCAGCAAAGGTTTACCATCGTTGCTGGTTAAAGTAATCATGTTTTGATCCACGAACGATTGTAAAGCGTATAAACCATCTTTATGTTCACCAATATACAGAGTAGGGCTACAATTGCGTTATGTGTTTTTTTTTATATTAGTTAATCGAATTGGGAATACGATACTCACTATAATTTCATTTGGGAATTAATCGAGTTCTCGTTATTCAAGATTGAACTGATCGTGAAATTGGATAGGCTCGTGAAGGGTAAAGCGATAAGACCATCCTGGTCTAAAATGTAGGATGCCACAATGGGACTACCCAAATCTTGTTGCCACAGCACCGATCCCCGAATTCGATCCAGACTTATCAAATTACCGGTAGAGCTCGAAGTGAAATGCAACATATCTGGAACCGGAAGATAAATTGTATCACCACTGATAATACTTTTTTTGCTATAATTAATGTTTTTCAAACCATAGTTAGCCAACGTGTCTTTGTCGAACGCCACGGAGGAATACTCGTAGAATGTTATATTCCACTTCCTCTTCGGGTTTTTGCTGTCCACCATCATGATGTTGTATTCCGTCCGGCCGATGTAAATCGCGTTTGGATTCGCGACCGGACACGTGGGACCATTGAAATCCCAGCCCAAAACGTGCTGCTTGTTACCGGTGTCTGGATCAATTGTATACCAAGTATCTTTCTTTTTACCTGAAAACGCAACAAAAATAAAGTTTTAATGACAAATCCAAGTCTTTAAAATAAACATACCTGTATACAAAATACCATCAGAACTTCGGCACGGCGACGTGCTCACCAATTCGGGGATGGTAAAAGGCAGCTTCTTAAAAGACTCCTTACCATTACCAACTAAATACAAGGATCCACCTTGAGGATCTGGTAAAAACATTGGGAGGAATTCATCAGGAGCCTTTCTAGGCACCTGGACAACAGATTCTAACAAAAAATAATAATCACAACACATAATATAAGAATCCAATTAGAACTCACTGTCTTTAATTTTCCATTTGATTGAACCAGTTTCCCGGTTGATTCCATACAGATATCCATCTAATGTGGAGAAGATCAGGAGTCTGTGATCCTCCTTCTTGGCTAACTCATTGCCATGCACCTAAATAGCCAGAGAACATGTTTAAACATGCTAAATGAACATATTGTTCCTAAACTCATACCTGAGATGTAATTGAAATTTCATCACAATTGCAGGATTTTAATAGAATGATCAAGCAAATAATATAGTTAGGAATGAGCCACATGTTAGGGAGTCGCTCATCACTTTGAAACACATTTAACACTTTGCGAGAGCAGGCAATTGAAACAAATGATAACAACGCTAATAGATGTCATCTGTTTAATGTTTAGATTCATTTGAACTAATCTATTATTGCTTAGAGGTTATGTATTGTTTGTTGCACGTAGTTTTTTTTTTGGATGATACATTATTTGTAAAAGTTGCAAATGTTTAATAAAGAATTGGTAAATTTAAGTATATTGGGCAACTGCAGTAATTAGAAATTTGCTTTGATTTTTAAATCTTATTAGTTTGTATACATTTTGTTTTCATCAATTACAGAAGGACGATTTATTTTGAACTTTAAATAATTTATGTTAAATAGAACGTGGCTTATCTAACGATTAGTAATTATGATTGACATATTTGCGTACTGCCCTATGTAATAATAAATAAATGATGCGTTAGTAAATTTGGTTGCATACATACTTAATTTTAAATAATATACAGGTAGTTCTCACTTTACGAATTCTTAGCTTCTTCCTCTCGAAATTGTTTGCACAGTTTAAAAAAAATTGAAAAACAAAAAACGAAAATAATTCATGGGATCAAGTTATTGATTAAGTGTAATAATTAGGTTTAAATTAATAATGAAACAAAGCGTTTGATTGGCATGTTTATATAACGTAAAGTATTTAGTACAACCTTTACTAATCAATATTTAAAAAATATATTAATGATGTTTTTTTATGGTGCAACTACACTACGTTCGAAAAGTGAAGAATATCTGTGATACTTCAATGCTATGAATTGTGATGCAGTGTGGATGTTCCATTATAGTTTGTAAAATTGATTTCACTTACAGTTCATAAAATATGATAATTTTAATCTCATGATTTAAATAAGAAAAAAATAAAATTAACAAAATTGGAGAACTAAATTATTAACTAATTATAAATAGAGATAGAACAAAGAAATGTTACGCTAATAGAATTAAATTTAAATTTTTCCCTATTCAAAGCAAACAAATATTCGAAACTAGATTGTAGTTATCTTCAACAAGAAAGAGTAAACATGGAGCAAACTTTTGCCACTGCAAAGGAAATTTAATTAGGAACTTTCTGCTTCTTGCAGTTTCCACTCTTTAAGAGAGATTCTCTGTTTCTTAGCACCTCGTTTTGAAACGCAGCAGTTTCCATGTTTTCTCGGCATAATGCAATCTCTTCAAAAAGTTTATTTTCTTCTTAATTTTGCTCTCCAAACTAGTTTTCACATTTTCGTCGCTTACTTAAGTTGATTCAATCTATGTTTGTTTTTTCTTAAATGAAATTAATAATTTTATTTTTTCTAATATTTACCGAAAATTGTAAAAGTCTGCCGTAGTCTACGGTGTTACCGCTAATTCTTAAAAGTGTGCCGTAATCTACGGTGCTACCGCAAATAACAAAAAAATTACATTAGTTTCTTTCCTATCTTGAAGTCTGTTATTATCGTAAATAATAGAGATTAGTTAACTTTTTAACTTTTTAATATTTTACTTTTTATACTTTTTTGATTGGGTTTTATGTAATAACTAAAATAATGTAAAACTGTGCTTTTTACCGGTCTAAATTGCATCAACTTATATTAAATACTCAAATAATACAAAAGTGATATGCTGCGTTATTGCATAATGAAGAGTAATCTCGGTAAATGTTGGAATTACGTGTAGAGGAGATGTATAAAGTAATACGAAAAACCTGAAACATTTATGTAAATTGGCTTACGGAAAAACATTTCCATCTGCATGGAAAGGAGGGATTTCCAGCAGCCGAGGAAGGAATAAAACCTTGTGAGGATCGATGATGGAATAACGTCGGTGGCGGCAGTGACAATGTTTACTGAAATGCAGTGCGCGATCGGCAGGATGCGTGTCCTTGGGGTTTGGGTGCGCGTCTGAAGCTGGCGGAGCGCTGAAAAAGTTTCAGTTTTCAGTCAGCCCTTTTCACGGTAGCCTCGTGCCTTCCATATTCTCGAGAGAAAACGCGCGCGCGACACTTGTTAACCATTCAATTGTTACTACCAGAGACGATTCACTGTTTTCCATCTTTGTTGTTTTCTATATACATATTGTACAGAAAACTATAACAAAAAACTAAGGTATTTTCAATCATTTTCTTCTGTTTATTTGTATCTTAAATAACATTTTTTTAAACTAACAGAAATCTTTTATGTAAGCAACATTTTGAAACAAGTAACTAAAATCAAAGGGAAAGTATATATATTATTATGTAAAAATACAAATTATTAACTATAAGTCTTTCCACTAAGAGAAATATATTAATAATTTATTTGTTCTCTTTCAGGTAAATATTTTCTGCAAATAAATTCATACTTTATCTTCTACTTCCAATTTATAATTGAAAAAGTGCATGTAAATATTATAGTTATGAGATGATTAAAATTTGACTGTACAAAAATTGCTAATTAAAGTTTAAAAATTTACATCGCAATTATAAATTTTCTAATTATACCGAATATAACAAATAATGTAATACAATATGAATATATTTTACATGTTAAAAACGAAATTGGATAGAAATATGAAATGAAGTAAATTCAAAACTAATTATTTTAAAAAGAAATTCAAATTAAAGAAGTTCCAAATTGGGAATGACTTTTCAAATATAAATATGTCATTTATTAGTTTGAACAGTTGTGGGTCGTCAAAGTTTCTCACTTTCGAAGTAAATAAAACAAGTAGTTGAAAACTTTGCAAGTACGGGAATTATAACAGCTTAGAGACAGCTCTAAGAAGTACAGCTTAACTAACAAGCAATAAAATGTTGACAGTGTCCTCACAGAATATAAATAATTTTGAAGGACGGCAATTCCTTGGCGATTTCACTTTCCTTCATCCCGGCGCCTCCGAAGCTGTCGAAAACGGACAGTTATTGCAAACTTTATGGGGAAAGTATACTACTGATAGTAGCCCGGATTATCAATATATTGATTAACTGTAGCACTAAATCATTACTACAAATGTCTATGAGCTTATTATGTGCGAAGCAATAGGATTATTACAAAAAACGATTCATTTTCAACCTACTTTATTACCAAATTTATTGACTTATTCACGAAATGAACTTTCGTCAACTCTTTTCTTAATGCCCCAAAAAATCGGAAAATCGCTTTCATTCCCACTTTTTACTACCAGTCTGCGGATCACAGCTAATCCGGTACTTGGCTGAGTTCTGATCCTACTTACTTTTTTTTATCCTGCAATTGATTATTCACAGACTCAGACTATTGCAGCGTAAATCCACAACTTACTAAATTTTATTCTTGATTTAATCCACTTTCCACTTACTTTTAATTTTGTCAATTATTAACGTAACCTTTATAAAACTTAATTAAAATTAAAAACAAAATAAAACTAATTATTATGATTAACTGAAAGGAAACAATAACTGACAATTGATGATCTGATAAAGCGAAAGAAATTGCGTTTCACTGAATCAATTATTATATTGATTTGATCAAATTGGCAAAGAATTAGTGCGTGTTTTCAGCACTAAGAAACTTAGGTAAAATCAATATTTATTTGCGCAAATTTTTCCATACAATGTTGTAATCGTAAATTTTCTAATTTTACTGAAATGCTGTTTTTAAATCGTAAATATTCTAAATTTAGTTTTCTCACTGGAGAAGTTTATATAAAGTACGTATATTTCGTCAAAATCTTCTCGATATTTAGCCAAAGCCGATATACAGTTTGGACCTAACGTAACTTACATTAAGAATCCTATTTTTGTTGGATAGAAGATTTTGAATTTACCAATTACTAAAGTTTTACTAATGTAACTAGTTTATTTTTCAAATTTAATAAAATAATTAGGAAATGCAGTCGTGTTTAACAATTAATTTTTGGTAGATGCATCAATCATTTTGTAAATTAACGTTTGATAGATTTATATAAAAAAGTTTGACACATTAATTTTGAAAGCGTTTGACAGATATATTCTACAAAGTTTGACAGATTCATATTGAGACCGTTTGACATATTTGTTTGTCAAAGTTTCATAATGATGATGACGTTTGACATAAGTCAAATAACAAAGTTTGACATATTTGTTTTGAAAGCGATTAACATATTTATTCGATAAAGTTTGACACATTCACAATGAGAACAAAGTTTCATAATGATGATGGCGTTTGACATAAGTCAAATAACAAAGCTTAACACATTTATTTTGAAAGCGATTAACATAATTATTCGATAAAGTTTGACATAAAGTTTCATAATGATGATTCGACAAAGTTTTACACATTTATATTGAGACCGTTTGACATGTGTTTGACAAAGTTTCATAATGATGATGACGTTTGACATAAGTCAAATAAGAAAGTTTGACATATTTGTTTTGAAAACGATTAACATATTTATTCGATAAAGTTTGACACATTCATATTGAGACCGTTTGACATATTTGTTTGAAAAAAGTTTCATAGTGATGATGACGTTTGACATAAGTTAAATAACAAAGTTTGATACATTTGTTTTGAAAGCGATTAACATATTTATTCGACAAAGTTTGACACATTCATAATGAGACCGTTTGACATATTTGTTTGACAAAGTTTCATAATGATGATGGCGTTTGACATAAGTTAAATAACAAAGTTTGACACATTTGTTTTGAAGGCGATTAACATATTTATTCGACAAAGTTTGATACATTCATATTGAGACCGTTTGACATATTTGTTTGACAAAGTTTCATAATAATGAAGACGTTTGACATAAGTCAAATAACAAAGTTTGACATATCTGTTTTGGAAGCGATTAACATATTTATTCGACAAAGTTTGATACATTTATAGTAAGACCGTTTGACATATATGTTTGACATAAGTTTCATAATGATGATGGCGTATGACATAAGTCAAATAACAAAGTTTGATACATTTGTTTTGAAAGCGATTAACATATTTATTCGACAACGTTTTACACATTTATATTGAGACCGTTTGACATATGTGTTTGACATAAGTCAAATAACAAAGTTTGACACAATTCTTTCGAAAGCAATTAACATATTTATTCGACAAAGTTTGACACATTGATATTGAGACCATTTGACATATTTGTTTGACAAAAGTTTCATAATGATGT